ATTCGAGTCAAGTGTCTTTGAGTTGCTCATTTGCATATAACTATAGACATCCTCCGACACTTTTTAAAATTTTTTTTAAACTTTTCCTTCAAAAATACATTATTTGATTGATTAAATAAACGGGTTTCAGAGTCACTTAAAAAACCCACTGGTTTGCATTAATTCGTACACAATTTTGCATGGGAGGGACCTTTCAGACTCAATGGTCGCTGATTTTTGCCCCCCCCCCCCAACCGTTATTGACTTACGACGTCGCTGTTGTGAAAGATGCTAAAGATAATTAATGAAGGAGGCATGAAAGATGGCCACCAAAAAAATATAGTAAAGGAAGAGCAAGTGAAATATATTTATTTTTATTTATTATCCCTCTCTTGTTCCGAGCCTTCAACAGGCTATCGCCCAATTACAGAGTGACCCGCATAATGCTTAAATGAAGGGGTGGAGAGGCGGAAACGAAACAAGCAGGCTAGAAGGGGTAGCAGAAGGTCCTGTGAAAAAGATATAAATCGCGAGAGAAAGAAAAGTAGGGATGGCTTGAAATGGGCGTTTAAAGGTTGAAGTTAACTATCAATGAAGCAGACGTGAAGGAAGTCTGAGGAAAGTTGGAAAGCGGTCTGAAATAAATGAATGGTAGAGAAGTGAAGGAGGCGCAAAAATATCTGAAGGGGCCTTGGAAAAAGAAAATATCAATTAAAAGCAGGGACCCAAATGAAATATCGGTTCCCGTTATGTTTATATTTAAGCGAAAATATTTATAACGGTTCCGGTCCGATTTCGGTTCTAAAAAAATAACGGTTCGATTTTTCGGTCCATAACAGCTCTTTTCGGTTCTAGTCTTTTAAAAAGTATGGTATTAAAAAAAAAATAAAAAGCCATGACTATCAAATCGTGACATGACGGCAGTGTAGCTAATTTACAACGACAAAGGGAATAAAAGAGGAAGAGGGAAATATCTATTTAAACTTAATTTTATTAATCTTATTAATAAAAAACCGAAAAAATACACAAAAACTTATGTAAACAAATTATGTATGAGCCGATTTCTTCTAAGGGAAAGTGGTTCCTAAAAAATATTTATTATGCATCCACATCAGGCTAGATTGTTTACTTGGGACCCAATTCTCCTGAAATTTCAGCGGAAGATACTCATAAAAGTAGGTAAAGTTAAATAGAAAAAAAATAGATCGGCGCATGCGCAGATATAACCTGATTTGGGAAGCACTTTTTTTGAAATTTCAACTGAAGGTGCTTCTTATAAAATCAAAATGTTAACAGAAAGAGCCTTCCTACTAGTAATTGAACGCATATCCATAAATTTATTCCGCATGCACAAAATCAAAGTGATTTGTGTTTCTTATAAAAGTAAACTGCAAGACCATTGTTAATGTGGAAATTCACTTTTTGTAAGTCGTTTACAATTACTTTTTTAACTTGTTTTAAATTGTAGGGATAGTCAGTAGTGCTTCTTCGACATAAGTAATGTGTATAATTGAATGTAATAACTAAACATGATGAGCAAACGATAATTTAGCATTATAGTTTTGTTAATTATTGTAATTGGGAATAAGTGTAAATTGTGCAATTAAAAAGTGGTAAGTAACTTTTGTTTGGCTACGTCGACACTTTAATTGTATCAATAATTAGCTGCATTGACATACTACAAGATTCAATCATTTAATTTGAAATATGACATTGTATGTGTGGCACAAGGACATTTGTATGGCCCTTTACAATTCTCTGATTTACTTTAAATCTTACAATGACTCTACTTCAGTATGATCAAAATTTTAAAAAAATGTAAGTATACTTTCACTACTTTTTGGTGCGTCAACTTTCATCAATGCAAATCGCTGTCCAGCTTAATTGATATTTGTCATTGCTAGAGATAATTAACATACGCACTATTCTTTAGTGTCCAAAATGATCAGTCAATCAGTTCATTATTCATTGTAATGGTATGCATGAATAGATAAACGGAAACGAATTGGGATATAGCTTCAAATGTTAATACAGTATGACACACACTTTCTCTCATTATCGATAATACCGTAGGTACCGTTATTGAACGGAATTTTTTCGTGTGCTTTATCATTTGAAATAAAATCGACATCCCTTTCGTGTGTAGATAGCTATCACGAGCTATGGGTGAAGAATTTCCATAGCATACTACACACTCAATTTTATAATATTTTACTACGAAAGAAAATAGGTAGGTACGTTTATGTAGGCCTCGTAAGAATTTTACACGAAACTTTCACTAATGATTACAGCCAACAAAAATTTGCTCTTATTGAAATCTCGGATCGGAATTAGTGTCTTTAAACAAAAACTTACTTTTCTAGAAATGGTGATCTTGCTATAGAGTTCAGTATGAAAATATAGGATGTTAAAAAATGTGTCAAATTCGTGACAGAACAGCTTCCCAAAAATCGCGCTTTTGGTAAAATGGTAAGTGTAGGGAAAAAACGTTTCCCACGAAAGTTTATAATTTTTCGATGTACAATGAAAATATTCAATACAAAGTATAGATTTCTATTTGAAGAAATTCAGTTGCCCTATGTTAACGCATGTTAATGTATCTATGTTTTTTTTTGACATTATAATTAACATAGAGAAGACATCATGCTTTCATGTCATATACACAACACGTAAATTTTAACTCTGAACATACAAATCTCCTATGTTCAATTCTTAAATACTTTCATCCTTTTCCCATATTTTAATTGTGCCTAGAAATGAAGTTAAATAGTACATAGAAGAAAATCCAATTACATCACTGTTCGCAATTTAGCTAGAGAATTTGAAATTTCACACATATTCGTTTTGAAGTTAACAATTCACAGCAACAATATTCAATTTAACAGCCAGATCTTTATTTTTTTCAGGCGAGATTTTGTCATTTAAAAGTAGACACAATGAAAAACAATAGACGCGAATCCCTATGTACACTTCTTAACAAATTTCACTGTATAAGTTGACATGTATAAAAACTGCTTTAATTAAAAGCAAGAAGTGTCGTTGTTATTTACAACAGACACACCCTACATTTGGCCCTTAAGGAACAGTTATGTGAAAATGTGCATAGCAACATTAAATGAGCCCCTCTGTATGAAGAATATTTTATATAAAATATGTTTTGATAAGGCCGCTAGTTTCCGCAATAATTGACTGCCTCAAGGTAAATGAAACACTTTGTATATAAATTAATTAAGTCACAATTCAAATATATTTATTGGATGATTAAATGAAGAACTGCAGATTCCAAACAATCGTAATAAATATCACATTCGGTTCATTTCAAAACCACAGAATGTTTTCAAAAGAAATTCGCGATGTCATTTATTATTGTTCTTCATTCAATAAATTTTAAAACAAGAGCGTTTATTTTTAAAGCTCGATAACCCGAAAACGATTGAATTTATGTACATTATGCTTCTTACAAATTGAGAGAAGAATTGAAATATGGAATAATGTGCAGGGTGTGGTATTCCATTTTAAAAAAATGCAACCTTGTATAATTAAAATTATTACTGTCTAGTAGACATTGAAGAACTCTTTTAAGAACAAGAACTATTGTATAACATTTTCTCGATATCTTGTATATTTTCCCTGATAATTGACCGTTTCAGCGACCCTGATGTATATCATTGAGATATAGCTCGAATGCTACCGGAAATATTCACTAATTTTTTTAATATATACATCTTGGACCATAGTTTGTTAAGCAAATATTAATTTTTAATGTTGAATCACTTCCTATATAATAAGGTTCATTGCATTTTTAGTAATCAGAAAGAAATCAGGAAATACCTACTTTTCGGAAACTGTCATTTGTTGTTCAATTAGAGGACATCTTTGGAATTGTGTCGCAGAATGAAGAATTTGCACATTTTTTGAAATTGGAAAAAATAGTTAGAGTATGCCAATGATGTTTGAAAAAAATACATACGACGTCTAAAAGAGCAGTAATTAATTGTTAAAGTTAGCGCCAGACTCCGCCCACCGTATCGTGACTCGTTACGTGACGTCGCAAGGCGAACGGAACGGCTAGCAGGCCACGCGTTACGCGTTTGAATTTAATATGCTGTCATTGCTCTGTAATACAACTAAATGTGCGGCTTATACCCATCAGTAACAAAGTAAGCCTTCAACGGCTTATTTAGCACATTTCAGGTAGTATCCTAATGCGTTTTCGCTATATTTTTGGAAAACTTTATTACTTTATTATATGTATAGGGCTAATCAGCTCTGAGATTTATCAGAAACGCCACACTTACCGTGCAGGTTATCTGCTAAAAAACGTTATTTTGCGTTATTTAGGGGCATATTTTTCTATTCTATATGAGATATAACAGTGATAGGTACTGAATATAGCTGTCGTTCAAGATAAAATCGATAATATTACAATATCGTTTGTTAACGACAATATACAGAATAAACCCCTAAAATGACGTTTTGACAGATAACCTGCACGTTAAGTTTAACGTTAGTGATACATTACAGGGCTGAATAACCTAGTGAGGGTTAGTTATGTTTAACTCCTTTGATTTCGGCACCTACAAAGTCAGGATTGCGTCCAATAAGGTTTATCAGTATCAAAAGCACAAAATAAAACTCGAAAATTAAGCCGATTTAAATACAACTGCTATAACGGCGTTCGCCCTGTGACGTCACAAGCACGGCACGCCCCGTTTTCAGTCAGATGATTTCGTGGGCGTATTAGTACTTAAAGTAGTGGTAATTATCGAGTACATCTTTGGGCATTTGGACAAAATATTATTGCCGAAGACATTCAATTAAGGGGTAGGATACGTATATAATACTCGTATATAAAAACGATTGGTAAATAATAAAAATCCCTTCCAATGGAAAATTATGAGTCATTTGACCACTTGTCCTATTACAGGGTTAGTTAGATAAAAATTGACTGGGATAGAGCTGTAATCGTATGTTATTTTCTCTATGTTCAGATTATTAACACATATTTTCAATTGTTTCAGGCCACGAAACATTTTATAGAAGTTGTTAATAAAGTTCGGCTTCGTCGTAAACTGGGACCGGTAAGTTGGTCAACCGCCGTGCGTTTTTTAATCGCTCGAAAATTTGACGTGATTCGCGCCATCGCTCTTTTTGAGCAACATGAACTTACGAGGCAAAGGGAAGGATTGATGAACTTCGATCCTGCAAGTGACCCACTTAAATCCGAACTGCATACAGGGAAATTCACCGTACTGGTAAGTTACTTCACTAGATTCAATAGTGAATAAATTTTCTTTTGGAATTATGGCCGTCAAAAGATTTTCTCTGTGTCATTTGTATATAAACGTGCAAATATTATAAATGGAAAACCATTTTGTTCATATACTTTACGAGGGCGTGAGGACCAGTCTACAATCGGTACGAGTGACGGCGCGGCGTACCCGTCACAAATCCAAAATCTTCTCAATCTCCTACCTAGATTGATCATGTTCTTTGGAGCCGGTTTATTGAATCCGTCTTCTTTGAACAAATTCCGCATTTTATCTTATTAGGTTTCCAAGCACAAGTAAAATTAAAAAGAAAACCTGTATTTGCTAGTCCATTTTGTTTAGGACTGATGAATGATCAGTAACTCCGGCACCAGTGCTACAAAATGGGATTGAACTTCCTACTTAGAATTCGTAAGGAAAATAAACTGTTTTTAAACACATGTATAGGAGAAAACCTACATAAAAGTAAAGAACAAAATGGGATTCGAACCTTTAACACTTGACGCTCCTGTGGTAGTTAAAAAATTTGCTTGCATTGGAAGCTCAAATCCAAGAAAACTTCATCCGGAGGACAATTCCCTTCAAATTCGTAGAAGAAAATATATCCGACGGAAACATCGCATTTCCACGCACCGCACCTATTAAGAAAGTTGCCTTCTCTTCTACTGTCCATTTATTTGTAGCGGCAGTGGCCGAAAACTGTCTCAAGTAGGTGGACCATGGTGATTTTCCATCGAAGATTGGTGGCCTAACACGAACTTTTGTTGCACCAATACTTTCATAATAATGGTTCGCAAGCTTTTTTGCGGAACGATTCTGGAACCACAAGTAGATCTTGTGCTATCACAGAGAACACTTCACTGTTTTCGTGTTCTGCAGTAAGTAACATAAAATCCTTTCGCAGTTCATCGTATTTAGCTTTCATTTTGTTTGCTACCGTATGAATTTTATCCTCGATTTTATTACGGACACTCTGTATCTCAATGGGGACCGGGTTTTTGACGAGCTTCGAATTTAGCTTCTATGGTTTGTTGACCAGATTGCATTAATTGGAGCAGTTATTCCATTTTTTATGACGCACTAAACACACAACCCCACACCTGACACAAGTGCAACGTAAATTTAAATACGTGTTTTGTTTATTACAATTAATTAACAATAAATGTATAAGTCTACAAATGAATTAATTTATAACAGTCAAAATATTATTTATCACTCACGAATATACACGCGAATTATTTATGACTTCGGCGTTGAAAGTGGAACTGCTCTCAAAAGATCTCGAACGGTTCCGAAAGCACTCGATCGTCCCGTGTGGCGCAGTTGAGTTGAAGCTCGGCTGGTGGTACTATGGGTTCATCATTAGAATCCGGATTCGAGCATAGTATTAATAAGTAATTAATAAATTTATTTGTTACTCAGTTGTAAACGTTGATTAACAAGACAAAACGCAAACGGGTAAACGTCATGTTTAAACGCTACTGACTTGTAAAACTGACAGCTGACCTGTAAAAATTTTACAAGTTAGTAATCTAGTAATTTCATTGGCTACTTATGTAATAATAAATTTGATATTGAAATATTTATTTCAGCCTACAAGGGATGCTACTGGTGCAGCTATAGCTGTTTTTACGGCACACAGGCATCAACCCCTAAATAGTACACACCAAACCACTCTACAAGGAGTTGTTTATCAACTGGATGCCGCACTTCAGGATCCTATCACACAACGAGCTGGAATCGTGTTCATTTACGATATGTCGTATTCAAAATATTCCAATTTTGATTATGACCTCTCTCAGAAGATTCTTACATTATTAAAGGTAAGTTTATACTTTGGGCAATTTAAGTGATATTCCAATGAAATTTTAAGTAATAGGTACACAAATGAAAGGTGTGATTTTTGGAAGAAATCCAAGACTAAACATGCCTATATTTATAACAACTTCCTCCGAAGTATATTTTTTTTTAAAGAAGGGTATTTTAAATTTAATTTGCACGCGCTAAATTTAAACCCGTGGAAATAAGAATTTGTTCAATTGGTTGACCGACCGGATATTAACGAGGATGACTAAGAAATTGTTTTTAACTACGGGAAGATACAAATTTGCATATTAATGTAAAAACCAGACGAGAACTGTTTAAAGCATAGTTGCCAGCTAGGAAAAAAGTAAACACTTTACGTTCGGTTTTTCATTTAGGATGTTTACGAAAAATTGAAAATGATGGTTTATTGGACATAAAATAGTTACAGCTGTAGCTTAATGGAAATTTTAACCACTATAAATAAGTCATTTTTCCAAATTATTGACTAAATTTTCTACAATTTATAGAGCCACGCGGCCCCAAAATCAATCAGAAATTTTTCGCATTTTACAGTAGATGTGAACCATAGGTTTATTTTATTTTTTGGCATATGGCCACTCTTAACATTGAATGGAAAATTTAACTTTTCTCATTTTTTTTCGGGATGATGTATGTACATATTTATACCCGCTTTGTACGTGTATAATACAACCTTTTATGTCAATGCCCCTTTCTTTTTCTATTCGAAAACTTGAAAATACATAAAACACTTTTAACGAGAAACTTTGTGTCAATGGACCTTCAGGCCTTTGAATAATTGAGTTTATCTAAGGAGATCGCGTTACAGCAACATCTCAAATGTTTATTTGATGCCATTGCCAATTGAAAATGATTAATTATAACTAGAACATAAAAAGTGTATAGAAATTACGACTATGGGTTTCGGTAGCAGTGGGCGGTAATTGCGAATCCGTATAAAGTAGTCTGCAAATACACGTAAGCACCAACTCGTATTCATTTCCTTCTTAATTAAATATTTAATATTTTAATCTAGTAATTGCATCGGTCCTTTTGATACGCATTAAGCCACGCCAAATGCCGATTTATTGATTTTGCACGGCAATAAATAAATATTGGATGATCTCCTTTAAATGATCAAGTATCCCCATTAGCGGTAGGTAAATAAATAAAAAACAATGAAAACTCATTACATACTGTGTGTCAGTAGAATGTGGGCGTATTTCTTAAATCATCGTATAAACATTACTCATTAGCAGAAAAAACAGTACAAGTTTCCCAGTGCGATTTTTAATTAGTGATGGTGTCACGCGGGACCACTTAAAAGTTTGATACCTACATGCATTTAGGCGCAATTGATTCGGGGTGTGATTGTGATACAGAAGAATTTTTGCTGATACATCTTGTTTTCTAGTAACAACCACTTCCAATTCCATTTGATTCCAACATATCCGAGGACATATAATTAATTTAGCGGGTTTGTTAAAAAAATCGAATGAACAAATTCTATTTATCTAAATCTAAAGGGATATCATTTACCAATTTGTAACAAGATTTGTAAAATTGGAATCCCGGTCGATAATTTAATTACACACAACCCTCCCGGGGGTGTGTCAATGTCCGAATATTTTATTAATGCGTTTAAAATGTTACGTATTTCATGTATTTATCGGTATTTAAAATATTTAATTTATATTTAAATAGTACATTTTATTTATTTCATAGCAGATGTGAAAGTCACATTTTAATAGGTTTGAATGAGTTGGCTAAGTCGCTCTTTAACCGTAAGGGTAGATAAAGTCAAACAGATGATTGTGCATTTTAATGATATCTTATATCAAATGGGACGCGGAGCACGATATAAAATGACGTTCAGAAAGACCGCGACGCCAGAGCCTAAGTTTATTATTTTTGACGTTTAAATTAAATTAAGAATTGTCAGAAGCTTTACAATGATTTATATGGCTTCTGTTATAAGATAAAGTTTTGTATTATACACTAGGATAAAAGGACTGCACGACCTTGCAGTTTTAATGCTTGGTTTAAATTTACTTTAAAAAACAAAACCTGCTAATAATCGCTTATCGTGTCTGAAATTCTAAAATATATATTTGCCTCTTCTTCTCTGGCAAAAAAATCGATTCACTACGAAACTTACTTGCATTATCGGCGGTAAGGGAAACAATTAAACAAAATGAAAACACACAAAGCTCACTCCTAGAGCAAATAAGTAAGTTCAGTAACCACTTAGTAACGAAGCGCCCAACTTAAAACGCTTATACCAGGTGTTCAGTAAAGGGACTCCAGGGGATTTGCCCGATTGGTATTCTCACACGACGATGTTGTGCGCCGGTGCACCATTTTGTTGAAATCAACAGAGTTTTGGCAAATTTATTTTTTTTGTGCCGTACATCGTTGTATTCGCCTTAAAAAAATGCTCCTCAATACAGTATGTGCTATTTTATGGGCCATATAAGAAATAAAGTTGATAATTTCTCCGAAACGAAAAGTTGTATTGAAAATCTCTCAACCGTGCCTTGTAGAGCTCAAAAAGTGGCATTGAGAAACTTTTTTTTATTTTTGTGTATTTGTTCAAATAACCGCAGAAAAAATAAAAACGTAGTCTGCAAATTTCGGGTTTTCAGGCATATCTGCGGGAGTTATCGGAATTTTCTGGTTTTCTTTAAAGCGTAACTCTTTAATTGTGCATAATTTCTCTAATCATCGTATTTTCTATGGTTCCTGAGATCCCCATGATAGACATGCTTATCTTGGACACGGTCCCAAAAGATGTGGCAAAGGAATTCGGATTTCGCTGCCGGCCGGCATATTCGATTGTTCACATCTAAAAATTAAACCTTCTTTATTTGATTGTACCTTAAATCTTAAAATTTACCTCAATTAAGCGCACTAGTAATGAGACCACTCACGACTGGCTCGGATAACTTCTGCTGTACCACACTTAATTACCTACGGTTAACTATACTCACTGAACTTGCAGGATTCAAATTTTTAAATTCGGTAGACCAATATTGCCCATTGTTACGTGGAATTTCGGGTCAATCGCAAAATGTCAAACTACACGACCTTACAGCGGTAATGCTCGTTTAAAAATAATATAGGGAATCTAAAATCGGCTAATACCTAATTAACGCAGCTGAAATCCTAAAATATTAATTGTTCCCTTGCTGTACGGGAACAATAATTAGAAACTTCACAATTATTATGTTCGGCAGCTTTTCCTTATCAGCGGTTACACGGCTTTACAAATTAAAACATTACTTTCACCTTCTATTTCTCACTCCTAGAAGAAATAAATAAATCTAGAAGTTTTACGGTTTCTTAGTAACGAAGCGCCCAAATTTATATTATGTTTCGATACCGTTGCGTTCATGTACCGGGTGGTCATCAAAGCTGTACATACGACGGAATCGCGATACAAAAAAATTGTCGGAAGGATTTCTTGTGGAGGTATTTCTTTACATGGCAGAATGATTAATTATCCACTTGAAGAATTTGCAGTTGACATTTTCATGGTAAGACAAGGGACTTGGTGTTTTGACATAAAGCACGCACAATTGTAAGCGAAACGTAATACATCCGAATTATTCTGCACATGAAACTCAAAATGAACAAACATGGAATTATTGATGTAGGCGAGATTTGCTATCTCGAGGAGTTTTTTGAACTTAGGAACGTACCCTACTTACACTAAATCAAAACTACAATTTTCTTTCGGCATGGTTTTTGGTATTGATATTGATCATAAAAACCGATTTCCTAAAGTTTCGATTGTAGATAAATATCTGCCTGTCCTTGCGCGTCAAATTGTGCGTAATTGGAATGAACTTATCACATCATTTTAACGACTCGGCTCAAGGTGAAGGTTAATTGTATATCAATTTATTGGATGGAGGCTTGATACAAAATCGATCGGAATTCGGACAACGTGAAACAATTTATGATATTCGACCAAAAACCGTGGCTGACCTCATGAAATATGCTTGGTGGTCGCTCTTCTGATGGAGAGGTGAACAACCATCATCAAATGCGATTATTTCAATTTAAATGAGAACTTATGAGAAGCTTATTTAGAATCAGCAGGAAAAGGGAATGGCTACTGTCCCAAAAACTCAATTTTTTTTTAAATTCATAAGTTGTTTCACAAGACATATTGATCTTTGACTCCAATATGTAACAATTTGTCTTCATTAATATGCAAATTCATCTAAAGTTGTGTTGGATATCTTGTGTAACGTCTCTTTAAATGGGCATCAGTTTATGTGGTTAATAATTTTTTGCGCGCCTAAATACAGGCAGCACAACTTACACGAAGTTGTATTTCAGAACAATAATTATGTCGAAATAAAAACATTATTTAATAATTAGTGCCACATTTCAATTCTACACTTGGTTGGTGACGGTGTTACTGTAGAGGTCTCTGCTGTCTTAAACCGCTTCAATTATCATGAAAATAATAACATGTCACTATTTAATTAATTGATCAACCTCAAGGTATTCCCACGACGTGACCCATAAACTACCGTAAAATTATAATTAAGGCCAGAATAGATAAACGTATTTAGTATTCACATGACGGCACGCATACTTGGTGGTGCCTTTAATGTGCGTGTTCCTTCCTCCGCTCCTTCCGTAGTTTTTATTCGTGTTTCGAGCCGATTTCATTGCGTTACGACGTGGTCCGACGTCTTACAAAAAAATTGACTTAAATACTTATTACGACGCATCCTGAGCGATATACACCGCGGTTGTTGAATTTCGATCGTAAGAGAATCCCTTCGCTATTTTGAAACGCGCATGCTTTGCGTCCCATAGCGTCGCGGCGCTCTTTAAGCATCGATTTAGTTGCCGAACGTATTAACAAAGTGGTCCTTATCTGTTGCTCGGGAAAAAATCAAGTACGGTTTTATCCTGAATATACATAGACACTTCTGTGCAGTGCTCTCGCCAAAAACGGTCGTAGTTTGTTTGTGGTAAA